GGGAACAGGCAGAGCTGGGGTAGAACTACAGCTTCCTGTTTACGAAGTATGCTTGCATGCACTCTGCATATTGAGTTATCTGTTTGATTCAAATTTTGTTGTATTAAAAAATTCTAAAATGGTTTTATTCACTTTTTATAAACTCCTCTCTCTCCTTATATTAATTCAGTAATCCAAATTTTATGTTTCTTAAAACATTGAAATGTGGAGTTGCAGTGATGTTATCGTATGTCATTTGCCTTTCATGCCGCTGAGTAGGGTTCAGTCCTTGGTATTCCTTATGGATCCTTGGCGCACCACCAGGAGCAATTTCTAAGTGGAGAGACAGGAATAACCCCTGAACATCTCCAGGTGTGAACCAAAAAGCAAAAATAAAAAAATAAAATAAAATATTGAAATATTTCTGAGTTCATTTTCAAACAATAAACTATTTTAGTTTAACATGGTTCATAAGCTATCATTGATCCCAAATAAATATAAATGTATCACTTCATAGTGATTTTTGGGCTAGAAATTTTAAAATGTGATGAGTCATTAGAAAAATGTACTGAAGCAATGCATAATCATGAAAATATTAATTGATGTCTCTGGGGAAAATTGGAACAAGAATGATTCTTGATAATTAATTTTTACTTATAAGAAATCTAGATGTTTTGAAAGTCCCAAAGGTACAATTCCACTTTTTACTGCTACAAAAGGGTTTTAAGTAAAATCCCAGGGAGAAATTATGGTTTTCTATTGAACAAAGAGTGCTCAGTTTAAAAAGAGTTCTCAGTTAAAACCATGACCTTTACAAAAAACAAAATAGAACAAAACCACCACCACCACCACCAAAACTTTTTTGTTTAATACAATTTCAGTATGAGCTTCCTCTAAGCATAGAATATTATCTGTTTTTGCCACTAGTAGTACTGGGAAAAACACACATTCTAAAATGTGGGGAACTCATGCTACCTTGAAATTCTAATTTAAGAGGATGTTACAAGACTCTGTAGGACTAACAATTGAAAAAGAAAGTTGTGCAAAAACAAACAACGTAAGTTTCAAACCCTAAAATCAAAGACAATAGCTTTAACAGGCTCTTAAAAGAGCCTGAACTTGTGTGGCCTGTTTTCTCACTGTCAGGACAAATGCTGGGAATGCATGAGTGAGAGGCAAGTTCAATAATTAAAAAGAAAGTGACTGATAGGATTATAGGTGATCAATTTTCTTTATGTTTCCCTTCCAGTTTATGGCTAGTATAAGCCACTTTTTCTTTCTCTTTTCTTTTTCAAGGGAGCTCCCTAGCAATGATCAGGGAAATCTGAGTTCACTCCCCACAGTGCTTAGTCTTGTTATGTGGGATTCAGTGTTGGGTCTAGCAGGCATGTGAGCTGCCTGAACTATATCTGACATTGTTCAAGTGACTATAGATGCTGTACTGAATGTGGGGTCTCCCTATTCAAGACGCATGCTCCAATACTCTAAACTATCTTCCCAGCCCTCATCTGCTAATTTTATATCATGTAAAAAAAATTGCTTTTATTTCTTTTTCTTTTTCTTTTTTTTTTTTGCTTTTTGGGTCACAACTGGCGATGCACAGGGGTTACTCCTGGCTCTGCACTCAGGAGTTACTCCTGGAGGAGCTCAGGGGACCATACGGGATGCTTGGAATAGAAGATGGGTCAGCCGCGTGCAAGGCAAATGCCCTACCCGTTGTGCTATCTCTCCAGCCCTGCTTTTATTTCTTTTAACTCCCAGTATCTGCATATGGCCTCTGAGAATACAGTCCTGATCTCTGGCAGCCACACAGAAACACAGAAAATACGATGAGTCAATAAAATTAAATTTGAAAAATAGAAAAATAAAAATGAAGGCGGGGGCATAGAAGAGTCAATACGGAAATCTAAGAGCAGATTTCAAGTTAAACTATGTTTCAGTAATTCCTTGTTTAAAATAAAACAATTTTTGAACTTCTTTTTCTACCAAGTAATGTGGACTAGGGAGCCTTAGTGTTTAATATCACTGAAATTGTATCAAGAAATTATATACTAGATTAAATAAGTAAACTACTGATTATGCCTGACTTTGTATGAAAATACTCTAGTTACTAAAATACATTTTTCAGAAATAAGCAGGAAATTGTTCTATCAAGGCTATTTTAAGTATCAACATTATTTTAGGTACCATTGCATCAAAGTTATTAAAGTGACAATAATAAATTTTACTCTATGGGCAGAATGTTATATTTTGTAAAGAATCTTTAACAGGCTCTTAAATGTCCATGTTGCTAAAGAACCACATTTGCTTAGTTTTGTTTTTATTAGAATTAAAGGCACACAGAGAAAGTTTTATAGTGCTTATATGCTGAAGAAGTAAAGTCATGCTGAGTATAGAAAATACAGGAGAAATGATTGCCTCCCTCAGATTCAAACTCCAAGTTAATGGATAGTAAGTGAAAAAGAAAAATGTACTTCTTAAAGGATGTACATCTTATAGTCCAAACACATCAGAGTCAAAAACCAAGTTGAAAAAGGCAATTAAAGCAGTTTATAAAGAAAACACACTACCTTCACTGGAGTAACAATTTAAATAATCACTGACTTCTCATCAGAAATGACATGAGCCAGGAGACCAGGGACCAAAATCTTAAATAATGAGAAAATCACTCACCCAGATTTATGTAGCTAGCAATAACAGCCTTCAAGAATTAAATAAAATATTTTCATCTACCCAGTGGGTAGGGTGTTTGCCTTGCACGTGGCCAACCCGGATTTGATTCTCCACCCCTCTTGGAGAGTCTGACAACCTACGGAGAGTATCTTACCTGCATGACAAAGCCTGGCAAGCTCCCCATGACAATTATGAGCATATATACTTTGTAGAAAAACATAGAAAGCAAAATAAAAACAAAAGACACAAAATGACCAATTTAACAGACTCAAAGGAGAACTAACTCCATCACCATAGTGGGCTTATTAGCATTCCAATCTCAGTAACTACTTACACAGCCAACACTGAACATAGATCCATACTTTGGAAATGAGTTCATGGGACTATTTTCATTAGACGGGATACTGTAAGAGGGACACCATATCTTTGAAACTCTGTCAATAACATAAAAATAATAAGTTTTAGGGAATCAAGAGATCATACAGGAGATAAGGCTGCCAGGCCATGACTGTGGTTCAAATCCCTGGTACCACTGATGGTCCCTTGAGAACCATCATGGACTATTTCAAAGCAGAGAGGCAGAAATAACCCTTGACCACTGCCAGGTATGGCCTCAAACCCCACCCCCGTCCCTGCTCACCATATTCAAATAATAATTACAAAAAGTGAGCAGATATGGGACATTTTTATTTCTCAATGTGTTCTAGTTTTTCATGTAACATAATTTCTTCTGCTCCTCAAAGCAACTTGAGCATTACCTTTTTGGCCTGTCATATTCACCCTTTTCTATCATTGCATTCTCTTTACAAAACAATATTAGCAAGTAAACTATGGTTAGCGCAGCGGGTAGGGCATTTGCCTTGCAAGCATCCAACATGGCCGACCCGAGTTCAATTCCTCCGCCCCTCTCGGAGAGCCCAGCAAGCTACCAAGAGCATCTCACCCGCAGCCTGGCAATCTCCCCGTGACGTATTTGATATGCCAAACACAGTAACAATTGCCACAATGGAGACATTACTGGGTCAGCTCGAGCAAATTGATGAACAACGGGAGGACAGTGACAGTAAAACTATGGTGTTTATCTTTTTTTTTTTTTTGCAGGACTGTAAAAATAATGAATGACCATGATGGCATATTGGATACCAATTTGCTTTGTGATTCTTACACACATTTCCAAATAATATGAAGCAGAAAAAGAATGATTTTTTTTGACAAATAGAATTGAAGAATAAATTTAGACCATAAACATTAGCAAGTTCTTTTTTCTTATTCTCAACCCTTCTCACTTTTGCTAACAATCACAATTTCTAGTTCTCTTTCATGAAGGAAGGATTAAAGCACAGATTTCATTCAAGATGTTTTCCAGAGGAACAGCGCTCTCTTCTTAGGAGGTGGCATAGGTTCTTCAACCTGCTCTGTGCATGGCTCTCTTGTGGTTATGAGTTTTGGATACTCAATTAACTTCTTTCAGTTCTGACTCCATCTCTCATTCAGGGAGAGTGAAAGGTTGCCTGCTTTTGGAGGTGCCAATGGCTCTAGATTCTTGTGAATGCACATTGTAAAGCTGTGAGACCTAATGCAGTTATTAGGTATCACCACTAGTTCCCTACTTAATTAGACCCTATCTAATTACAAAAGGTGAGAGCGCTAGTATCATTCTCTTAATAATTTTAGCTTTTTTTTTTTTTGCTTAACCTTTTATTTGCATTTCCAATGCCTTTTCTTTATGCAATTAGGGCTCATAGTGGACTGTGTTTATATATAAAAGAATGAAAAGATATCTGTCTAGAATACAGCTTTTGTTTGTCATTTTAGATTATACAACTAGAAGCCTATTTTGAGATCTTAGAAACTGATATTTCTTTTATTCTATTAGACTCATACTCCTGGATCAATAATGCAAGTCATGGACCAGAGACATAGCTTAATGGGTTGAGCACATACTTTGCATGTAGGAATTCTGGGGTTTGATCCTTAGCACTGCATGGTTTCTAGAGCACTGCTGGAAGTGATCTCTGAGCACAGAGACAGAAGCTCCTAAGCACCTTAAGGTATTGCCTCTACCCTCATTCAACAATGTGAGTTATACTTGCCCTTTGCTAAACATTTTGAAGTTATATTATAAATCATGAGAGATTTTAATCCCTCCTACTTGGAGAGGAATGGAACATTGTACTTGCTCAGTTTAGTCTATTCCTCTACCCATTTTTCTCTGCCCCAAGTTCATGCTGTAAGTAGACCTACTTTTCTGCCCCCTCATTACTTACAAAGCTGCTCCTGATAGTATCTATGCTTTAGTAACAGAGAAGAAAAAATGCAAGGTCAGACTGCATTTCATCCAAATATACCTGAATCATCAGTAGTCCAGTAGGTTCTTGGATCAGGCTTGGTCAGGATGCTGGCATGATTACATGGTTCTTTCACCTTGAAAACATAAGAAGAAAAGAAGTGTTGTGAAAAGTGATTTCATGAGTTTTGCTATTTCTGGCTTCCAGCTATAAAGGTAAGAGTCCAAGCTGAGGCTAGCATATATGACTTATCAGTGCCCTGATTAGGGATTTCAACCATTCTGGTTTGCAAGGACAGTGCTGGTTTCAGCACTGGTAGTCCAATATCTTGGATATCTTGGAAATCTTTTAATAGGAAAACTGAAAATACTGGTGACCTTAGGCTTGCTAGAGGTTCATGGCTGCTGCAGTACTTGGAGTATGAGACTCTCTCCTCTCTTCTTTACCTTATGCATAATATGTCACCGTTCTGAATAATTAGCAAACTTATTATTATAAAGACCCTCTTCACATAAAATGTGTTTTGGACTCCTCAATAACAGAATTGGAAGTTTTCTTACATAGTCTGGGAAAACAAAAAATAAGGAGGAGCTGTTTATTTTTCTTCCCCAAACCTCTGTGTTTATTGAGATCTTCCAGAAGTAACCTCACCAGATCTTTTCTTTTTTTCTTTCTTTTTGATTTTTGGACTACACTCATCAGTGTTTGGGGATTACTCCTGTGGGATCAGGGAACCATATGAAATGTTGGAAATGAAACCTGGGTTGGCCATGCGCGTGGCGAATCCCCTACCCACTGTACTCTCACTCTGGTCCCACACCAGAACTTTTCTGATGGGCCATTATTACTAACAAACTGAACTTTGAAAGGAAAATAATATTTCAAACATATCAGTCAGAGGAGCTAGAGAGATATTACACCAGGTAAGGGACCTGCCTTGTACTCAGCTGACGTAGATTTCATCCCTTGCACTGTATACGAACCTCTAAGTTCCACCAGCAGTGATCACTGAGCACAGAACCAGGAGAAAGCCCTACATGTTTCTGGGTGTGGCCCTAAAAATTAGCAATAATTCTAAGAAAAATATTATTTAATATGCAATAACACAAATTCCAGTGGCTAATAATATGTATTTATTCCTATGGATTTTTAGATTGGTCAGATTGGATCTCCAAACCATGGGTCTAGTTCAGTTTTAGTTCTCTGCTTTGGGACCAGCTTTATCTAAATGACAAAAGGGCAAGAAACCATGATTAGGTTCTAACTACCCTGAGAGCACATTTGGAACTTCAGTTCATGTAAAATCTACTAACATTGCAACCAGCCCCATCCCCCCCCAAAAGTCACATTTCCAAACCTAATGTCAGTGGTGTCTGAATATAGCCTACTTACTTTATTAGGATGTAATGTAAAGGCTGCCTGACACGCAGCGGGCACCGGGGCCCGTGGGACTGGGGGGGGTCCTTTCACATCGGGGCCACGGACGCCGGGCTGGACTCGGGCGCCTTAGGCCGGAGGTTGACAGCCACGGCTGAGACACTGCCCCCAGGTGCACGCGAGAACTGGCGCACAGGGCCCAGGCGGCCGGCTCGAGCGGTGGGAGGCCAGGGAGGAAGTCCTCAAGACAGGCCCTGACCATCCCACACGCACCCGGGGGAACGACGGTCCCGATCCTCATGGCAGAGAGCCACCAAGAGAGAGCGTGTCCACCAAGAGAGAGCGTGTCCGAGAGAGAGACGCCCTACCCACTGTGCTATCGCTCCAGCAATAGCACAGTGGGTAGGGCGTCTGCCTTGCACGCAGCCAACATGGCCGACCCGAGTTCGATTTCTCTGCCCCTCTCGGAGAGCCCGGCAAGCTACCGAGAGTATTCGATATGCCAGACACAGTAACAACAAAGTCTCCAATGGAGACGTTACTGGGCCCGCTCGAGCAAATCGATGATCAACGGGAGGGCCTTTACTTTACTTTACTTAATGTAAAGGCTATAAAACTATAATCTTATCAAAGAGGAAGTTGGAAGAAGGGATACAATCCATCAAGATGTGAATTGTGAGTAGCTTTAAAGAGAAGCTAATTTTAATTTAATGCTTTTAAGTAGCTCTTAAAAGCAAATTTTTAAAATAAACTTTCATCTTCTTATTTGTTTTGCTTCTTGAGGGGGGATATTTTTGGTGTTAAAACAGACACTGCATTTTGTAGTGTGATAATTTGATTACTGAAAAATTTTCTAGTCTTTACTACTTAATGGTGAAACTCCTTCTATTATGTATTATAGTGATAGTCGAAGTAATCAAGAGTGCCACTAAGTGTATTGTTTAGCGTCATTGACCTTTCTTTCCATGGAAAAAAAATCTATGGATGAAGAAAGCAGAGCATCAATTACAATCTGGCCCTAGCAGTTTCTCTTGTTATGAATCAATATCAAAGAACCTATAAAAATCAAACTGTTTTAAATCTGCATACCCATAGCATTATAGATACAGAAACAACTTAAATATCTATGAATGAGGGCTGGAGTTATAGTATAGTAGGTAGGACAAGGACACTGGTCTTATATGCAGCCCACCCGGGTTCAATTCTTGGCACATCAAAAGGTTGCCTACATATTGCCAGAACTGATCTCTGAGCACAGATCCAGGAGTAAGCCCTGACCACTGATAGGTGTGGCCCAACTCCCCCCAAATCTATAGATTGATACATGAATAAATAAAATTATATATACATATATATATATGAAGGAGAAGAAAACCATGCTATAAGCAGCAACTTGGATGAAATTTAGACTTGTTAAGTGAAATAAGTTAGACACAGTAGGACAAATATGCAGAAAACTACCTATAAGAGAATGCTATCTGACGTAGTCAAACTATAGAAGCAAGAATCTAATGCAGTTGCCAAGAAGTGGGAAAGCGGGGAATAGGCAGTGCTACCCAGTAAGTATAAAGTTTCAGTTTTGTGGATTCTTGAATCCTGAGCAACATTATGCCTGAGCTAATACTGTTTTATTGTATACTCAAAAAGAAGTCAAGAGGATAGATTTCATCTTGTTTTCTTAATAAGAAAAGAACTAGGAATGAATGACATCCAAACGTAATCAAAGTAGAGAGAGAGTATGGGGGAAATTGTCTCCCACACAGGCAGGGGAAAGGTTGCAGGGGGGTTGGAGATGGGGAATACTGGAAATTTTGGTGGTGGAAAATGTGCACTGGTGAGGGGATGGATGTTTGATGATTGTATGACCGAAGCTCAAACATGAAAGCTTTGTAACTGTACCTCATGGTGAATCAAAAAAAAAAAAAGTGGGAGAGGAAATAATAATAAAATAATAAAATAAAATTAACATTCAGAATAGAATAAAAAAATAATGTGGAGTTCATGCCCAATTCAATCAGCTTCATCAATGGCTGAATAAATAGCAGTACTACATTATAAAAAATAAAGAAATGAATGACATCCCATGACTTAGTAGATTAAATAAAATATCTGATGTATCTGGAACACAAAAGCACATTTCTTTTCAACACAAGTCTATGCAAATTCATTAATGTCATAATACACTGTGACAGTTTATAAACAAGGACCTATCACCAATAACTCCTGTAGTTTTAGTTTCAAGGAGCAGGCATTTCACAGAAGTGAAGAAATTCATTATCAGGTGTCAATCTTACAAGACTTCACAAGACCCCTGCAGTTTGGTAGAATGTTAGTGGCTGAAGTGTGGTGATACTTGGACTGATTCCTGACTATATCCACATTTAGCTCTCTGGTTCTCCTCCTCTCTCCTTGGGAAAGGACATACCATAAAACATGCATCTTGGAAAAGAGATTGAAAATCAATTAAAAGATGATAATAACTCTGGATAAGAACTGGTCCAAAAAGTAGGTAAAGGAACAAACATGATAACCTCTCAGTATCTGTATTGCAAACCATAATGCCAAAAGGGAGAGAGAGACAAAGAAGGAAAGTCCTTGCCATAGAGACAGGCTGAATGGGGGAGGGTGATGGGAGAGAAACTGGGAACATTGGTGATGGGAAATGTACACTGGTGGTGGGATGGTGCCAGAACGTTGTATGAGTGAAACCCATCATAAATAACCTTGTGATGGTTTATCTCACAGTGATTGAATTAAAAATAAATTTAAAAATAAAATAAAAAGTGATAATACTATAAGAACAACAAGGCCTCGGGACTTCTCTGGGGCCAGCAGCCTCCAGACCTGGGGCTCCGGGTCGCGGGCTCAGCCGACAACGATGGGCTCTGTGTCATACCAGCAGTTTGCAGGTGCCTGCGCCAAGGCGCCCGAAGAGCGGCAGGAGGATGCGGTCCGGCCGCTGAGGAGCCGCAGCTGCTGCACCAGCCGGCATCTGTAAGCGGTTCAATGTGCGCATGGGATTAGGCTTCCTGTTCAAGCCCGCCCCTGCTGGGTCGCGCTCAACCCCCAGTGGACCTCTTTGTGCATCAGAGTAAACTGCAATGGAGGGTTTCTGGAGCCTGAAGGAGGAGGAGGCTGTGGACTTCTCCTTTAAAAATTCCGCCAAGGGCCTGGAATCTATTGAGTCCTGGTGGGGTGTTCTGTATTGGAAGTGAGAGGCAGTCAGAAGGGAAGAACATGCAGAAGCGGAGATCTAAGGGAGACAGGTGCTACAGCGGTGGTGGTCTAGACCATCATGCCAAAGAATGCAAGCTGTCACCCCAGCCCAAGAAGTGCCACTTCTGCCAGAGCATCAACCACATGCTGGCCTCCTGTCCACTGAAGGTCCAGCAAGCCCCCAGCTCCCAAGGGAAGCCTGCCTACTTCCGGGAGGAAGAAGAGGAGATCCATTCCCCTGCCCTGCTGCCTGAGGCCCAGAATTAAGTCAGTGCATGGGGACTATCCTTTTGTGATCAGCAAGTTTCAAGGAGCAGGCATCAATCGGTAGAGAGGAGAAAGCGGGGACAGGATGGGGAAGGGTGCAGCTGGCACTGCCATGCGTGTATCTCAAGCCAGGGTCCGGAACTTCACACTCTCTTCCCTCTTGGCAGGGGGGAGGGGGGGAGGCAAAGGAACTCCAATCACGCTGTCTAAATGCACCTGAGGACTTTGGAGGCTGACGCCCTCTGCATGCTTTATCTGAGTCTCTAAGCCCAGGAT